TGACTTAGGGAATCCCAAACGTAAGTTGTCTTCCTCCTCTTTTCATTTCCAGAGCTGCTCACCCAGCTTCCCCAATCTCTGGTCTATTCAGTTTCTTCATTTCTTGTCTTGTCTATGAGTTACTGGGGTTTTAGGAATGAAATTATTCTATACCAGGATAAGCTAGGATTGGAGGGTGAGTGAGAGGGGGGGTGGGGTTAAGGGAATGGAGTAGTAAGGGAAAGGAAGGTTCATGTTACCCTGAAAACTTAAAATAGCTGGGGCCTGGGGCACGCTGGAACAGAAGTGTGCACTGGCTCTTAGCACTCAGGAAAGTTGGGGAAGTTGGGAGATGGACATCCAGCCCACTTCTCCCAGGCACACACGTGGTGGGACACATTATACCACCTGAAGAGGGGGTCACATCTCTACTGCCCACAGATTCCCAGGAGGAACGCCATATTCACAGGAAAATCTGAACCGTGCTGCCTTGAGCACTGCTTAGGAGCTGTAAACTCTGGGCTAGCCCCTCAGGGTAGAAGGATGGGTATGGGTTTGAGGAACTGGTGGGGAAGTTCATCAGTCTCCTGGGCTTTTTTCTGGACCTCCATGGAATCTTTGTTCATAAGCCCTTCAAAAGATCTGTTTAACCAACTCTGTTCTAAAGCCTCCCCTTCAATGACTGCCCCTACTTGGAGGGACAGGAAGAAGAGAGGGAAGAATGGCAGGGATTAGATTTCATAGTGGGGTCCAACATCTTGCAGGATGACAGAAAAGGAGGTGCTGGAGTCCCCTAAGCCCTCCTTCCCAGCAGAGACTCGGCAAAGTGGGGTAAGTCTGAGCTTCTGAGTGCTGCTTGTGGGGGGCACTGGAAAGCCATTACTGCCCCTGAAGAAAAGTGCTTGGATTGATCTCACTGTGTGGCTCATTTTTTATTAGAGTCATAGCCAACATCTGCAGCCCCAGTACCCCTAATCCTGGGGTGTGTTCCCTGCCTCATGCTAGAAAATTGTCCAGCTAGTATTAGCCCCTTCTACTCTAGACACCATGACAACCCTTTTAACACTGGGTTTCCTTCACTCCTCCCTCAGCTACAGAGGCTGAAGCAGTTATTCGGGAAGGGGTCTACAGAGACAAAGGAGATGGAGCTGCTCCCAGAGCCCCAGGCCAATGGGGAGGCAGTGGGAGCTGGGGGTGGGCCTATCTACTACATCTATGAGGAAGAAGAGGAGGAGGAGGAAGAGGAGGAGGAGCCGCCCCCAGAGCCTCCTAAGCTTGTCAACGATAAGCCCCACAAGTTTAAAGATCATTTCTTCAAGAAGCCAAAGTTCTGTGATGTCTGTGCCCGGATGATTGTGCGTGAGTCATAAAGTGGGGAGATGGTTTAGGAGAGAAATGTTTGTAGCAGAGGGCGATGGCAAGATTTGGTTTAGGGGCCAGCAAATGGCGTAATAGCTAAGTTGTTGGACTCCTACATAGTCAACCACAGTGTGAGTCCCAGACTCAGCGGCTTAAAAAACTCAGGCCGGATACTTGTGCATTCATGTCCAAAATCCCAAGAGGAGAAGGGAGGATAAAGACCAGACATGGCCATTCCCCTGGAGGTCTGTTTCTTGCTTTCTGTCTGTGTCTCTCCCGTGAGTGTATGTGCTCTATATCAAAAATCTCTCTCAAAAAAAATTTTTTTTGGCTTGGGGACCAGCAGATGGCATGGTGGTTAGGGCACTGGACACTCCCACATGGTTGGCCACGGTTCGAGTCCTGGACCTGGTGACTTGCTTTCTCACTTTCTCTCTCTCTCTCTCATCAAATTATTAAATAATTTTAGAAATTTGGGGGGGGGGCTTAAAAAGCACTACTAGGGGCCAGGTGGCACAGCAGTATTGCAATGACCCATGTGAGAAAGGTCATGGGTTCAAGTCTGAGAACCTCCCTGCATACCAGTGGTGCACATGTGCTGGTGATCTGGGTTGGCTGAGACTGGGTGTATCGTGATGTGAGAACCTTGTTAAGGGTGCCTCTCTTATACAATAAATAAACTTTTAAAAACATTACAAAAATACTGGCAGAGGGAACCAGTAGTTAGCATAATGGCTATGTCGCTGGACTCCCACCTAGTCAACCGCGGTTTGCGTCCTGCACCCAGTGGCTTAAAACTCAAGCCGGGCGCGGGTGCGTGCGTGCCCAAGATCCCGAGAGGAGAATGAAGGAGAAGGGATTGTGGTGTGACCTTCCCCCCCGGGGGGTGATTCCTCGCTTTCTGTCTGTCTGTCTCTGGCGAGCGCACGCGCCCTATAGCGAAAACCTCTCCAAAAAAAAAAAAAATGCTGGCAGTGATTGGGAATGTAGGGTTCCAGACAGAAAAAGGAACCTAAGAGCTAGAGTAGCCACTGTGAACCTTATGCAAATGTCTCCCCTCCTTCCAAGTCAACAACAAATTTGGGCTGCGCTGTAAGAACTGCAAAACCAACATCCATGAACACTGTCAGTCCTATGTGGAGATGCAGAGGTGCTTCGGCAAAATCGTGAGTAGGCTCTGGGGAGCAAGAAAATAGAAGGGAGGGGACATGTTGCTAGACACCCCCTTGCTGTCCCTTCTCAAGTCATCCCATTTTTCTGGTTTTTCTTTCTCAACCCAACTCTCACTCAGAGGGGATGAGTACTCGTGGGAAAGATGGGCTCCTGGACCCTATGTTACTCCATCTAATACTTCCTCCCATCCCATCCTATAGCCCCCAGGTTTCCATCGGGCCTATAGCTCCCCACTCTACAGTGACCAGCAGTACGCTTCTGTCAAAGATCCCTGTAAGTGCCTTGTGTGGGACCTGAGGGAATGGGCAAGACTAGAAATAGCTCCCTATCACCTCAAGCTTTGGAAGCCAAGTTCTTAACAGAAACATTCTGTTCCCATGGTTCTACCTCAACCTGATTTTTTTTAAGAATTATTTTATTTAACTTTATTTGCTTATTATTTATTTTAATTTGCCCAGAGAGGAACAAAATGAGAGAGGGAAAGGGAAAATGAGAAAACAAGCCACCAGGTCCAGGACTTAAACCATGGTCGGCCATGTGGGAGTCTAGCGCCCTTAACCACCATGCCATCCGCCAGCTCCTCAACCTAATATTTTTATAGTCACTTTAGATGCAGTCAATATTTCTGTTTTATAGCTGAAGGAAATAAGATTTAGCTAAGGTTACATCCAGCCAGCAAGAAGTATAGCCAAGACTTCAGCCTTCATCTGTTAGCTTCAGAAGCAGTGCTCTACAGGTCCAGTTTGTGGCTTGGTGATTAAGGCAGCTGGATCCCGCATGGCTGGCTGCACGGTTGTGTCCCAGATCGGGCAGCTCGAAAAACACACTGGTGGGTGGGTCTGTCTGCCCAAAGTCCCAAGAGAAAAATGAAGAAGGAATTGTAATGTGGCCATCACCCTACTTTATCACTTTGACTGTCTCTCGTTCTTTGTCTCAAGCAAGTACCAAAAAATGGGGGGGGGGGGGCAGGGCTGTACTATTTCTAAGCAAGAATAAGGATTCTAGACTGTTCCCATCCTTGTTACAGAATCATATAAGATGCAAGGCCAGACCTAGAGCTGTGGGCAGCCTGAGCAGGTTCATAATTTGGCAACTCTTAGAAGCATATTCATTGACAGTTTGTTCAACATTTATTTGGAAGAGAGGCTGAACGCTGTGAGGAGCCTGAGTGAAAAGAAGAACTCACTGGTGGTAGCACACCAACTTGCACATGCCACTCAGCAGAACAAAAGTCAGCAGTTAAGGGACTGCTCTCCTTAGAAGGAGAATTAACGATTCCTAGCATGCCTCAGCTCCCAAGCAATTTACCAAAGTTGTCTCTCCAACATCATATACTGCTCTGCCTGGAAGAAGTACTGGAAATGTTTTCTTCTGTCACATTATATTTCCAGTGATGCCTTTAGAGCTCTTTAACCTATGTACTACCCAACTGTTCCTTCCCTAATTCTCCCTGCCCCCTAATTCTAGCTCTTCCATCATGGCTGCTAGAGGCTAGAGGGGGCATCAAAGTTAGAGAGACCCTGTCTTGAGAACCCATGCTGCCTTAGCTCTCCAACAGGCCAGAGGACATGCCCCCGCATAAGTATCTATCTACCCAGTTCCACTTCCCCCTGCCTTTAGAGATCTTCCCTCCAAGCCGTCCCTGCCTCCCAGGTAATAACTTCTTTCTCCTCCATTCCACTAGCTGCTGCCAACCGCAATGACCCTGTGTTTGAAACCCTGCGCACTGGGGTGATCATGGCAAACAAGGAACGGAAGAAGGGACAGGCAGATAAGAAAAATGTGAGCCCCATACCTCTCCACTGTGTTCCTTTCTAAACATGGGGCCGGTTATTTTCCCACTTTAGAAAGTTGTCAGGTTTGTGAGTCCTTTTCCCCCTAAAATTGTACAAAACCCAAAAGATAGGGACCAGCAGTTAGTGTAATGGCTATGTTGCTGGACTCCCATGTAGCGACCGTGGTTTGAGTCTTGGACCCAGTGACTTAAACTCATGCCCGGCGCATGTGCGTGCATGCCCAAGATCCTGAGAGGAGAATGGAGGAGAAGGAATTGTGGCATGGCCATCCCCCGGAGGGGGGGATTTCTCGCTTGCTGTCTCTCTGTTTCTCTCTGTCTTTCTGGTGAGCGCACGCACCCTATAGCAAAAACCTCTCAAAAAAACAAAATAATAATAAAATAAATAAAGTCTTGCATGCATTTTTAGAGGATATCTGGACCTATTACAGCTCCCCATGGATTCAGGTTAACGTCTATGATGTTCAGCTCCCTTCTGAAATTTTATGATTAACCACCACAGCTATCCGAAGACTAGGCCCTGCACCTTGGCATTACTGTGCTTTTGGATTTGGGGAAGAGAACTTGTCATGCCAAGTAATCAAAAAGTTCCAGAACCATGCAATGGTTCTTGAAGAAAATATTGTCTGACCCAATCATCTTTCAGATGATGAAACTGAGGCACAAAATACTGGCCAGGAGTGACCTTGTTTTCCTTTTGTAGTAGGGTTACTAGGTTGGTAAAGTAGACTTGCATTCCCTTCAACAGATACCTTGTTAGATACAAGGGTGTCCTTGTATCTTTTGGACACTAAGGTGGGATAATAGGGATAATAGTTAGCAGATAATGACTCCTAAAATCAGTTGTACTCAAAGTGTCCTGGTCTTTTAGGGATTGTCCAGCTTGAGGGAGATTTCTAATGCCTTGTAAACTTGATTTAGTCCATAATCTTCACTTAAAGACTTTCTCACTGACTCAAATGAAGATATAAGTGATAAATTCATTAAGTTTGTGGGAAAACAAATATACTGAGTAATACATTCAAAACCCTTAGGGTGGGGCCAGTAGATGGCATAGTGGTTATGTCACCGGATTTCCACATGACTGACTGCGGTTTGAATCTTGGACCTAGTGGCTTGAAACTCATGTCAGGTGCGTGTGCGTGCATGCCCAAGATCCCGGGAGGAGAATGGAATTTCAAGAAGGGATTGTGGCATGGCCATCCACCATGAGGGATGATTTCTCACTTTCCCACTGTCTCTCTCTCTGTCTCTGTCCTCTCCCCCCTCCCCCCAGATAGTGCATGTGCCCCAAGACAAAAATCTAAAAAAATAAAAAAACTTAGGGCTAGAAGGCGGTGTGGAAGTTAAGGTGGCTGGATTCTATATGCCTGGCTGCATGGGTCAAGTCCCAGACTCGTGACTTGAAAATCATGCTGGGTACATGTGTGTGATGCCCTAAATCCCAAGAGGAGAGTGGAAGAGAAAGAATTGCGGTGTGGCTGTCCCTTCTGGGGGGGAGGGGGGATTTCTCTCTTTCTCTCTTTCTCTATCTCTCTCTCTCTCCTCCCCTCCCCCTCTCCCCCTCTAGTGAGTGCACAGGCCAATAGTAGAAACTAAAAAAAAAAAAGGAAAAAAATCTTACAGACTAAACAAAAGGGCCAAAACTAATATTTAAAATCTTGTAAGGGGGGCTGGCAGGTGGCGTGGTGGCTAAAGGTCCTGGACTCTCACATGGCTGACCATGGTTCAAGTCCTGGGCCTGGGGGTTTGCTTTGTGTTTCTCTCTCTCTCTCTCTCTCTGTCTCACTCTGATAAAATTTTAAAATAACAATAATGAAAAAATAACAATAATGATAAATAATAAAAAGGAAATAATTTTTTTAAAAATCTTGTAAGGGTAAATGTACATATCTGCTCTTAGACCAAAACAAACAAGCAAACAAAAAACTGCACAGAAACAGAACTAGAAATCTGACCTCAAAGTGGTTGATATGGAGGGTAGTCACAGATTAGGGATTTATGTGGAGTGAACTATGAATTATTAAGCACTATAAGTGTGATTTCACTGCTTCCAGAAAAGCTTGCACTTTTTGGGGTCTATTCTCTCTCTCTCTCTCTTTTTTTTTTTTCTTTTATGATCAGTTATTTAATTAGGTTCTTGTTGAGAAATTTAGAACACCAATTTGTGAGGATAAACTCCATTTGTTAGGGCAAACGCGGACCACAGGCAGTCCTAGAACTGAGGAACAGCTTTGATTTTTGATAAAATTTGCGAGTCCACAGCTTTCTGGTCAACCTTGCACTGCTCTGTAATCTCGAATTTCTCCTTCTCTGTGTCGAAGATTTCACCTTCCCAGTGTCTGGGCTTCCAGAACTTCTTTTTCTTTTTATAATTTTATTTATTCATTCATTTTAATTTTAACTTGACCAGAGAGACACACAGAAAGAGAGAAGTGAGAAAGCAAGCCACAGGTTTGGGACTTGAACCCTGGTCAGCCACATGGGAGTGTCGAGTACCCCCACCACCATGCCACCTGGTGGCCCCCTAGCAGCTTCTTTTTCTTGAAGTAAGTATCGGTAAGGCGTTTTGGAGATTTTTACTTTGCTAATATCAATTTTCATAGAGGTGGCAATGATAAATTTCTGGTATGTTCTACATAGTGCAACTCAATTAAGGACCAGAGACCCAGTCATAAGTAGGAAGCCACTGCTCAGCTGCTTCAGGAAAATCACTTCCTTGCCTGCACCCAGTGAGGATGATCAGAATGGTCCCAGGAGTGATGCTAGCTCGCAGCTTTCTCACGTGCTGACTGAAGGATTTTTGCCATGGCTCAACAGCTTTCAAGGCACATGTTCAGTGGGATAATACCTAGGCATTTTGTGAAGTTTAGCCACCAGGTACCACCATTCTTGTCACCACAAGCTGGTTCTGACAGTGGCAAGAAACTTCTCCTTTTTCTCTTCAATCCTGGATTTAGTGGCCAAGTATTTTCTTTTATACGTGGCCTTCCTGGAATACACGGCAGACTGGGAGTATTGGCCAATGCCCGGACTGGAACCGGGTTTCGGCTGCAATGGGGTTTCCCCTTCTTGGGCTTTTTAGCCTTTTAATCTTACTACTGGCATCAGCCTTCTTGGCTTCAGATTTCTTCTCCTTAGTGTTCTGCTTCACAGCTTTTTCACCTGCCGTCTTATATAGTGGGAAAGAGAGGGTCTATTCTCTTAAGGGAATTATGAAAACTGCTGCCCATTTTTTTCTTACACATTGAAGTTTTTTTCATTGCCAGAGGGCATGTGCGCTCACCAGAAACAAACATGGAGATGGCACCTTCCACCCCTCAATGGGGCAGGCAGGCATGGTTATTCCACAATCCTTTCTTCATTTCTCCATTTTGTCAGGATTTGGGGCACATACACCTAGCATGTTTTTCAAGCCACCAGGGCCAGAATTTAAACTAGGATGGAATTCAAATCCCAGTCAGCCATTTGGGATCTGGCTCCCTTAACCACAAGGCTACAGGGGCAGAACCACATTGGAGTATTTTTTTTAGAGGTTTTTGCCTTAAGGCGTGTGCACTCAGACACAATGAGGGAGAAAGTGAGAAATCACCCCCCCCCCGTTTAATTTCTTCCCCAGGGGTGCAATCCCTTCTCCTCCATTCTCTTCCTGGGATCTTTGGCACCATACCCAGTGTGATTTTCTGTTTGTTTTTGTTTTGTTTTGTTTTGTTTTTTGAGAGGTTTTTGCTATAGGGTGTGTGCACTCACCAGAAAGACAGAGAGACAGAGAGATAGAAAGCAAGAAATCATCCTCCGGGTGAATGGCCACGCCACAATCCCTTCTCCTCCATTCTTCTCTTGGGATCTTGGGCACACACGCACATGCACCTGACATGTGTTTAAGCCACTGGGTCCAGGACTCAAACCATGTTCAACTACATGGTAGTCCAGTGACATAGCCATTATGCCAACTGCTGGTCCCAACCCAGTGTGATTTTCAAGCCACCGGGTCCAGGACTGGAACCACGGTTGACCATGTAGGAGTCCAGCAACATAACTGCTATGCCATGTGGGACCAGCAGTTGGCATAATGGCTATGTCACTGGACTACCATGTAGTTGAACATGGTTTGAGTCCTGGACCCGGTGGCTAAGCTCACGCTGGGTACATGTACATGCGTGCCCAAGATCCCGAGAGAAGAATGGAGGAAAGGGATTGCGGTGTGGCCATCCCCCCTGGAGGGATGATTTCTCGCATTCTGTCTCTCTGTCTCTCTATCTTTCTGGCGAGCACACGAGCCCTATAGCAAAAACCTCTCAAAAAAATAAATGACCACTATGCTATGTACTGGCCCTCATACTGGAGTATCTTATTGTGAAGGACCTGGAGTCTGGATCATGAAGGCGATTTGAAGAGACTGAAATGATTAGAGAAGAACAGCCAGGAAGGACAAATGATCTGTTCTCAACTATTCAAAGGGGCCATATATGTTCTATACTTACTGCTCCAGAGACAAATCAGGGCAAATAACTAAAATTTACAAGGAGACTTACATAGGCTTTATGTAGGGAATTGCCCCCAGATTGCAAGGGGTTAGTTACTATGTAAGTAGTACGCGCTCTGTCATTAGCCGCATTCAAACATAATGTGGGAGAGCCACCTACCAGGATGTTTCAGAGGCGTGTGGTTGGACTAGATACTTCCTCCAAGGCTACTTTCAACCCTGAGATCCAGTGATTCTAGAGTTCTCTGGTCTGACTAGAGAGCTAGGGCAGCTTGGGTTCTCAAGACATCTCCCTAACTTGGGTATCCTCTCCAGCCTCTAGCAGCCATGATGGAGGAGGAGCCAGAATCAGCCAGACCAGAGGAAGGCAAACCACAGGATGGTGAGTATCATCTGTCTCCATCCGCAGAGATGGAGCAGGGTCAGGGCTCAGCTGTGGCAAGGGAAGTGAAGGGACAAAGGGCAGGCCAGATGTGGAGATAAAAGAGGCCCCTCAGTGTAGGGGTAAGAGAGGAAAGGCTGCCTTCAGGGAGCCAGAGACAGTTTGTTTGTGTTTCCCATCCCAGGAAACCCTACAGGGGATAAGAAGGCTGAGAAGAAGACACCTGATGACAAAGTAAGAATCTTTTCTCTCGGAAAGCACTCCAGACCCCACCCAAGTCTGACACTACTCACAGCCTCAGCAGCAGCTCACACTTGGGTTCTCATCATCCTTGAACTGCCCTTTCCATACACACACAGACACACACACACTCAACTCTCAGTTCAGGGACCCGGAAGAGGGAAGAGTTAGAACGCAGTGTCTCTGGAGAACGCCCCAGCCTTGGGCTCCTGCCCCACAATGTTAGGCAGGGGAACCCTGAGATTCATCAACCCCTTTCACCCACAGCACAAGCAGCCTGGATTCCAGCAGTCTCATTATTTTGTGGCGCTCTATCGGTTCAAAGCCCTGGAGAAGGATGATCTGGATTTCCCGTGAGAGGCCTTCAGAGGAGAGGGTGGTACTCGGAAATGGAGGGGGAGATTGGCTCCCTGTGGGAAAGGAGAAGGGGAGACTGGGTGGGGTGGCACAGCCAGAGACATGGTATGTGAAGCCCCTCCATCCTCTCCCAGGCCAGGAGAGAAGATCACGGTCATTGATGACTCCAATGAGGAGTGGTGGCGGGTAAGGGAAGCAGCTGGGGCTAGGGTGGGATATGGGTTGAGTCTAGAACCTCAAATTGAGAGAGCTCCCCACTATTATCCTAGGGGAAAATCGGGGAGAAGGTCGGATTTTTCCCTCCAAACTTCATCATTCGAGTCCGGGCTGGAGAACGTGTGCACCGCGTAACGAGATCCTTCGTGGGGAACCGTGAGATAGGGCAGATCACACTCAAGAAGGACCAGGTAACCCTGGTGCCCCAATCCAGTCCCAGCCCTGAATGCTCCTCAGCAAACTATACTCCTGGGAGAGCTTACCCCGTGAGAGACTCGGCTGAGCCTCTGTAACCCGGAACTCCCCTGCTCTCCTCTGCTAGCTCTTCCCTTGATTCTTCTACTCTTTAATCCTTTGATCGCTAGATCGTGGTGCAAAAAGGAGATGAAGCTGGCGGCTACGTCAAGGTCTACACAGGCCGCAAGGTGGGGCTGTTCCCCACCGACTTCCTGGAGGAGATTTAGGCGTGCCGGTGTCTGCAAGCTGGAGACACCCAAACACCCAACCCCCCTTCTGGGCAGGCCCAGGGGAGGTTGGGAAGGAAAAGGCAAAAGCAACTGGACCGCTGAGTGGGATAGGGGTGGGCAGGCCCGCCAGTTCGTGACGGGGCTTCTGAGAAGGGGCTGGTTCCCACCCCCTCCCCTGGCCTAGAGCCTGAAATGCCTGGTGCCCAGAGCATCCCGCACCCGCAACCTCTGGGGCCCAGCTTGTGAGAGCTGGGGAAAAACGCGTCTCCACTGGGAAGCGCGGAGGGGAGGAGGGTAGGCGAACTGTCGAATGTTGCGAATTTATTAAAGTTTTGACAAAAGTTAGAAAAGTTTGTTCTTTAACTGGGGGTCGAGGAGAGGGACTGTGCAGCGCTATCCCACTTCACTGCCGTTGGATAACCTGAGACTCATCTGGGCTGAGTCCAGATGAAGAAGGTGGAGAGACAGGTGCATGCGCCAGGCGAGGCCTCCGTTGTCAGTGAAAAAGAAAGTCGATCTGGAGTCGCGGCCCCTTGCTGGGGCAGCTGGGAGCTGTCACCGTCGGTAGGTTCCCCTAGCTCTGGGCGGTTTAGCCGCGGGCAGCCTCTTGCATTTTGGAACCTGGCTCAGCGCCTAGCTAGGCCGCTAGGGGGCGATGCAAGATCTCAATTGGAGAGCGAAGGATGGGGAGGGGGTTGTCGAGGTAAGGGGAGAGAACCAGAGACACTAAGCCCAAGACCCTAGGCCTGGGAGGGGGATGCGGTGCGTGCCGTCTCCATGGCAACACTTCCTTGAGTCCTCCGGGAACCGAGCTAGTGAGGCCGGGGGCCTAACCCCTCCTGCACGGCCCCTGCCCCAGCCCTTTTCCGACAGGTACCCAGTGAGAGGACGCGGGCCGACAGCTAACCGGTTCTTGCAGAGACCCCCCTGCGGTGTTTCGTATGCAAATATGTTATTTGCATATGCAAATATGCAAATACGCCGGCCCCGGTCAGGGCGGCAGGTGGCGAGGAGCGGAAGGCGTGGGGAAGGGAGCAGAAGGATACTCGGAGTTTGGGGATCTGGGAGCGGACCAGTGAGAGGCAGCCTGGGATGGTTGCTGGAGTGGGGCAGGCGGAGGGTCTTGAGTTTGATGACTGGTGGGGGAGGGTTAGCCTGGCCAGCCAGGAGCTTCTCTTCTCCTCTGCCCGTTGTCTGCCAGGACTGAGGTTGGCACCGCCTAGCAAGGTTGGCAGCGGGAGCCCGGGCACCATCTGCTGCTGGCTGGGGGAGGGCAGAGGCTCAGCTGGGCTGGGAAAGAGGAGGGCCCGGGACGGGCGCCCCCCCTTCCTTCCAGAAGGCCGAGGTGTGGTGGGGGTAGGGAAGCACCGGAAAAGACTCGCTGCGGAACCGGGTTTGATTTCCTGTTCCTTTTGCCCTTGACAGTCTAGGACGCTTGGGGTGCAGTGGTGGGGTCATACAGGAAGACTCAGGAAGCCCCCTTTAATCACAACTGGGCAGAAGTAAGTAAGAGCAGCTCACTGGCCTACACACACCCAATCACACACAAATCAAGCCTTTTGCCCCCATCCCTCTGGGGTTCTGGGGGTCTGCCTACCACGAACCTGTGAGGGGAAGGACGGCGAGGGCTCAGGGCTCGGGTCGCCTCTTTTCATCAAACGGTCTGATCTGAGGACCTCAAAACTCTATCTCCCTCTCAGATCCTCGAGAGGGCCCCCCCCAATTCTGAAGTAAAACCAATTTACTGGCTCATTGGGCGGCGGTGCTGGTGTGGGGGTGCTGAGGAGCAGAGAGAGCGGCTGTTTTCCCCCTACACTCGGGGGGCGCCCCCTCCCTCGTCTCACCGAGTCGGCAGCTGTCCCTAATTAGAGCGGCGGTTTAATTGGATTTCTCAGCAGTTAATAGGAAATTAAGCAAAGGGCCCGAGAGAAGGGGGGGTGGGAAGAGCAGAGAGACAGACTGTGCTGAGCTCGAAGGAGGGGTGCTCAAAGGAGGGGTTCCAGGGGTGGGGAACACAAGACCTGGCATGGAGCTCGAGCCCTGTGATCCGGCCCTCAGTACTCGCCCTGCTAGCCCTGGCCCGCGGGCTGAGGAGCAGCTCCCAAGAGGGGAGGGGGCCGCAGACGTGACATTGGCCCTGTGGAGCCCCCAGTACCCCCCAGTCTCGCATGCGGCCGCCTGGGTGATGGATGATGCTGCCGGGCGCCGCAAAGGTCATAAGTCTGGGCCAAGAGCAGACTGCATTGAAAACAGGTCGGAGGAAGGACCTGAGTACTGGGATCCAGGACACAACCTGCATCCCATCCGTCTCCACTGCCCACTGCCCACTGCATTGAAAGGGCCTCTAGGAAAAAAAGGAGGGGGGACCTCTAGAAGTGGAAAGATGAGGCAGCTCCAGAATGAGGTGGGGTACAGAATGGCTCTACAAGACCCACCTCACGGCCCCGTTGGGAATCCTGGGGAATCTCCCAGCGCACCAGCCGTCGCCCTATGGCTTCTCCTCCCGCAGCTGCTTCAGTTGGGGCAGGTGGGGCCACTGGGTCTCCTGCGCAAGGGCGGGCGGCATCCTCGTCCCCGCCCTGGGAGCCGGGACTGAAGCTTGTAGGCAGTTAAGCGGAGGCTCACAGGCCTCCAGTCCACAGCCCCAGGCGCCTCCTGTCACCAAGACCTAATTACACAGCTCGCCTAACGTAGGCTAACGAGGCCTGCTCCGGAGACCCTGGCGACCTCTGTGCCACACTGCCCCCGCAGAGCACAGATGGCAGCTCCTGCATGTGCGTGGGCAGGCGTGAGCCTCTGGGTGGGGGTGAAGTCGCCAGGGTCTCCCTATGCTCCCTGGCAATTAGGGCGTCTACCCATGTCTTTCTGTCCGGGAATGTGAGGTGTGTCCCTCTAAGGCCCAGGAGTATGTCCAAGTCTGCACCTTTGAGGGTATCTGTGTCAGGTTTATCCACTTCCTGCCCCCCATCTCCATGAATTCTGTCTCAGTCCCCAGGGTCTCAAGCTGTCCGGGTGTGCATATGTGTTTGGGCATGTCTACGTGTTTGTGCACTCTTCATGCCTGGGTGTGCTTCGTGTGCATTTTTGCGTGTCTCTGCCTCCAGGACTGTTCGTGTGTGGAAATCGGGAAGAGCCACTGGTGAGTGTGTGTTGCCCTGGCGTCTCCACCTGCAGGTGTGTGTGTCTCAGTGACAGTGCGTGGGCGTGTGCCTGGGTGTGAGCCGCACGGCGGCGGCGTGTATCCGAATGACAGGGTGACGCACGGGTGTGTGTGTGTGTGTGTGTGCGCGCGCGCGCGCGCGCGCGC